AACGTATTTACCTGTCACGACTAAAAATATAAGAACACCAACCACTGTACATACTAAGGTGACGCCAATCAGAATACCAGCAACAGCGCCCCTTTCCAGACCTGTTGTATATAAAAGAGTTAATTTTATTTATTTGTTTTAGTATTATATACCAGTATAATATAATATATAATAGCATTAATGAATGATATCTGAAACTTCATAATTAGCAAAATACTTCCGTGAGCCAGGGACGTACGTGATTTTCATTAAAAGTATAATAATAACCCCCAATCGAAAGTTCAGGTACATCCGTCTATTTGGTCTTATAAAAGAACACAATTAAATATAAGCTATACACTATACGCAATCTTACCGGTTTGTTTTTCTGGTGGATTGATATCTAAAACAGAAAAAGAAACGACCAAACTATAAAATATAACTCTACTTTCGCCATAATCGGGTAAAGTTGTTGATTGTATTAAGACTACGTTTAGTATCAAGTATCAAAACTGTCCTGTTATTATCATGTTTTCAGTCATAATCACTTCATTGGGAAATTCATATTTACCCTGAGGACAAAATATTTCCATGTCACTTCCTGTTCCAACAGCATTTTTTACAAAACACGTAATGTTAACGTCACATGTGTTTTGTTTAAGTTTAGCTTTATTTTCATTGGTAACTGGTTGTTGTACGCCATCGAAATATATTACATACGAAATCGGCGGTGGATTTGCATCCTCCCCAAGACAGGTAACTAAGTCGCCATTAAATAACAGCATTGGAATTGGTGTATCTAAAAGACAACATAATGTTTGAGACCTAGATCCATCACGGATTAACAATTTGGATCATCAATAGATATAAATATAGATTAACCACAATAGATTTATTTATTTATTTATTTATTTATTTATTTATTTAGGCACACAATACATGTGCCAAGGATAGTCAACAGCGAATATATCACTATCCTACTTGTAGGTGACAATCCCTTACACAAGACAAACATACACACACGATGCTTTACACAAACTAAATCTCCATATGAGATTTAGGGAGTGGAGTTGTTTTGGTCGTGAGAAAAAATCCTGCAACTGGTAGGAATTGAACCCAGGACCCTGGGATTGGAAGGCAAGCATCTTAACCACCAAGCTATTCAACTCCACTCAATCTATACATACTGTAGTATAACTGATTTTCTTAAATTTGTTAAACGATATTCGAGAAATACACACGCCGTATTCAACAACTTATAGGCCTACATGTCTAAATGAGATAAAATTCAAATTCTATTACATCATTAATTCACTTACATTTAACAGACAATATTTTCGCATCACTCATGAAGGTTCCCGCATTATTTTTCACTTGACACTTAAACCATGCATGGTCTATATTTGATAGAGTAGTTATATTTAGAACATGGCCGTCAATTTGATACTTTCCACCAATAGGCAACAGTTTGTTATCTCGGTACCACAAGATGGTTGAATCAGGATCTGAATTTGTGGCACAGATTAGTGTGGCAAGTGTTCCCTCTAAGAGATTATCCGAAGATGATATTTCTATAATGGGAATCTCGTTCTCTGATGAACACAAACAATTAAATACGTTAATTAAAGAGATTATTTAAAAAAAAATAATAATAACATACTTAAGTAAATTGTTAAATATAATTACGTTTTGTCGTAATTACCGTTGTTTTCTGATCTTGGTCGCCATTACCGTTTACGTTCCCAAAAACTTTACAAGTGTATACGCCTTCATCGGCCGATGAATAGGAAGCGAGTTGCATGCTAGCGTCGCCGGTTCTTGCATTCAGCAATGACGCCCGTCCATCTATAACCTTACTTCTTTCAATTAAATTATGACTCTCGCTAAAAATGTCACCCTTAAACCACGTAATATCAACATCTGTAGCATCAGAAGGGACATACGTACAAGAGAATATAGCATCTTCGCCTGTCTGGAAAATCTGCAATTCTGGTGTTCTTACTTGTAGTTGACCTAAGCAAAACACTTGTAATACAAAGGCAGTGGGAATAATCAATTTTGAAAATGTAGTAACTAAAATCAACAGCATCACAATAATTAAGGTCATGATCACCGAAACCAAAACATTAAACATTAAAATTTTATTAATTAGTTATATTTTATATTATGTACATAATAAAGTTAATATTTTGTCAGTTGGTTATTGGAACAAACAACAATAATATTCTGTTGGAACAGGAAATAACATTTCCATTTTCAATTCAATTTTTTTTATTTATTTTTTTTTTTATTTCAGGCAATGTCTATATAAAAACAAATACAAAGCAAATAAGATTGAATTATAAAATAGAAATACTGTACACAATTCGATTACACTGAGGCATTTGTCTCAGGCTTACATAAACTCTCAGATGAATAGACAGAAAATAGGCATGTTTGTTTCAATGGTTAGGTTAATAATAATCGTCTTAATGTAATAAATTACATTTTAATATCTTTGAATTTCCAATAAGATAATTAACAGTGCACTTTATGTTTTCTGATAAATTAAGTCAGCATATAAATCCATACAGCGATTTTCTAATATATTCATAAGATGATGGGACACTACAAGCAACAAACATTTCTTTGGCACTACACGATCTTGACTTTCCTGGAGTCATCAGTGCGTTATTATAGCAAAGCAAAGAATCTATACTTATACGAATCTACTTAACAGTTGGCTACTACATCGTACACCAACATAGATGAATTATTATCAACAATGAATATTGACGTTAAATTCTTAATGTTTCTTCCGACTACCTAATTGATAACTTACCAATCATTGTAAACAAGCAGATGAGGGATATTTCAAATGTAATAGTCGTTTCCATCGCTTTTCTCCCCAGATCTCTATATTGTCGACGTTAATTTTTATGAATGTTTATATTGTGTAGGCCTACGATCGAGTCATAAAGAACTAAACACAAGGACTTTGTACGATTGGTTGTTTTATGGATGCAATTGTTGACGGTCAGTGTTTACATCTTGTTTGTTGTATCATCCGGCATTGTGTTGGAATTGCTTTGTGAATATTGGTACTATGAATTACTTCTCACGTCCCAGCTTTAGGGTCCATTTAGGTACGACAGTTCAACAGAAAACGAATTGTTGCAACAACTAAAATTTGCAATGACAATGGCAGCTCAAAGTCTGCGTCATGTAGTTCAAGAATATCAATATTAGTAGATGGCGCTCTTCGTCGTCATTCTCTATCGCGTACTTACGGTACCTCCACCAGGGACGTTATGTCATCGCTGTCTTTAGCAGGATTAAACAAAAAATGGATCATCATAATTAATTTAGTGGTATATATTGATCTAAGGAAGGCCCAGGCTATTAAATTAGGGGTGTCAGGTATAAAAGGAAGAAATGGTATCGCCCATAACGCCCTTTGTATTAAGCCTATTTGCTTTTCTGGTACAGGAGGGAGGTATAAACTCTACAGAGTGACTGTACGTTTCCAAAGCTGGTGTGATCTATTCATCTTTTCCCACAACATTGTTTTATTTTCAATATTTTGCCATTTTTAAATATTATATAGGAATATATAGGAAATAATATAGGAATTCGTTGCTGTGTCTGCATTTTAAAAGCAGATTGGTTCTTTTGTTCAAGGTGGTTTGTCTAAACATGGACGTATTCATGAGTGCCTTTTGTGTAATGCATAAGTTACACCGTGTTGTTGAATTATATGAGGCTCTGCTGTAATGAATATTGTTGTCTTTGATTTCCATATGAACTTTAACAGTTCTGTGCCGTTTTTTTTATTTTTTTATTTTTTTATTGTATTTTTTTTAATTTGTTTTTTTATTTTTATTTTTTTTAATTTGTTTTCTTTTTTGGTTTTGTTTTGTTTTGTTTGTTTGTTTTTTTCGATGTGTGCTTATGGTTCTATATGGGTTTTGAACGTGATATCTGTGAGACCGATGCTTCTTAATAAGTTATTTACATTTGTGGTGGCGTCGGCTCTCTAAATGATTAAATAAAGAGAAAGTAATTATATATCGGTATGTGCACATATATAGATATATAAATATTAAGCATAGGCCTAGTATTGAAAATAAATCAGACATTCGACATCCTTTCTATATGTGTACATGACATTCAGAGACACGTTGCAATAATGAGATAGTAATGACTACTGTGGCAATAACAATTCACCAGAACGCATTCGTGGTCAGCATGACTACAATTTAAGGTTCACCGTGTATGCGAAAGTTCCCGGGTTCGAGTCCCGGTTGTGCTGAGTTTTTCTTTACCATTTGTTAGATTTTCTCTTCTGTTATAAATAAAATACTCCCAATAGATATAGGCGCACAAAATATTCGTTATAAAGCATGGTTTATTCACATACAAATCTATCTAAAACAAATAATTTTAGTTTAGTTTTAGAAAGAAAATCTAGGTCATATTTGATCATAATTAAGCATAGGCCTATGTTGAATGTTTAGGACTGTATTCACCTACTCTCATCCAATTAACTACTCAATTTAATCAATAAATAATAAATGTTGCAATTTTGCTAAGGTAAAACGTTCGATTTCATCGAAGGAGCGAATCTGACGTCAACATATATTATCAAAAACACACACAAACAGAATCCACATGTTTAAAACATTGTTCAACTAAAAAATGCACACGCAATACAAGAAGTAGACTAAGGTGATGTTTAAATTAAGTTTGATTTGAATCACACACATATTTTGTTACATAAAATTTGACTGTGTGGACAGAGTTTTATAATAAACAACACATCCTCATCTAGAAGCATTAGGAAGCTTTCGATTTGCGCGACGACGCAACACTATGAACTGATTCACTCATGCATGACCGTCCTAGGCGGAGAATTTAACGTTCTCGAATGCGCAGATGACTTTTTTGCGACGTCATTACGTTTCTACGTCCCACCGCGGCGTCGAGCAGTCGAAAGCTCCCTATCAACAAACTGCCCACTAACGCGTCCTCTGATATGAACCTGATAATAATAGGCCTATGTAGCTGCAGCAACATACGGTACTACTATAGAGGTATACCGCCATGATACTACAGTAACGAGTCACCTGATGACACGACGGTTTTGTTTGGAGGTTTACAGGTTATTTCAGATGTTTGAGTCGTCTTGCATAAAATCTTAGCTAGCAGAAAACTTTACTTTTCATTTAATTTCACTTAAAATTGGTACGAAGAGTTCAATTATATCGATCAATTTAGTCAGTTGTCTACATTGAAACTCCACCTTCATCACCGGGTACCGGTTTATACGTAACGTCTTCTTTGACCCTTCAATAACAAAGAAATATTATTATAATCATTGAGAGTGCCGGCTATATCATTTTGGGTGAATGTTTAATGTTTATTTTAATTGGTTTTTTCACATAGTCTTTAAAGTGTATACTCATTTAATACTGAAGTAACGAAATACAGTATATAACGTAACGTAGACTGGTATGGAAATATAACACTTACTCTCTTGTTTCTTGCTTTGGCGTCTGCTCCTTGCCTAGATTGTAATAAAATTGAAAGTATTTTAGTCGGTCATGTTTCCATCATTTTCAGCGGCAGATCCAGTAGGGCGATACGGGCGGCACGCCCCCTCCCCCCGTGTTGCCACTAAATTTAAATGCAAACCAATGTTATGTGCTACCATGGAGGAATATTCCTCCATGGTGCTACTCACCTTTTCTGAAACTGGTATGCCCCCCTGTTTGAAAAATTCTGGATCCGCCACTGATTTTCACAATTTTTAGGTTATTGAAATTCAAACCTATGGATGATTCTGATCTGAAGCACAGAGTGAAACATTGCTTTATTGTAATTTACAACACGACAATAGTAATATTAATTTTTTTTAAATAATATCAATAATAATTACCTTTGTTTCGAAAAACATAAAACAATACGAGTCCTATAATAATTAGCACCGCACCTCCACCAAGTATAATTCCGATAATGGCAATCGGAGAAATAGGTGCTAGAAAAAAAAAATCAAAAACATTATTTTTATACTGTGCTGAATACTTCTAATGACATTATTAACGATGAATAATAATATTATTGTTTAAGGTTTGCATGGTGAAGTAATAATGTATTAAATATTCTGCAAAGAACTGTTGTTTTCAATAATATTAAGCATGATGAATAAAAAGTGTAGCCGCGTTAGTCTGTTATAGAACAATATAAAATAAATGACAGCAGCACTTTTGAGACTATACATAATTTATTCTCTAGCTTTCGTCCACAAAGTGGACTTCATCAGGAAACTGTACAAATGGGATAAGAAACAACTATAATATTACAACAGAAATGATGGAGGAGGTCCTACAACAACGAAGTATGAAATAAATAAATAAATAAAAAATAAATAAATAATATTAATGTCATTCTTGTGTCGAATTATATTTTGTATCTTTTCAGAGTGAAATTGCATTATTGTATTTCTACATTCAAATTGTACTACTGTGTTTCTACATTATTATTGAAATTTATTGAAAAAATACAAGTCAGCTTTTATTTTGTGTGTGTTGGGGTGTGGGTGTGGGCTTGGATCTCTATAGAATGTATAGTACTCAAATAGTTTACTTACCGTCGTCGTCTTCGTCATCTGAACAAAATTGAGAAAGGTCAATTGTTATTATTTATTTTTTAATTAAAAAAAATCATTATGGCGACATAAAAAAAAAAGATACAGGGTATGCATATAATGGTATAGGTATTAAGAAATATAAACCTAAGAAAATATAGGTACAGAATGATATCAGCAGTTAGGCTACATTGTTGGTATTATGATGAAGATCATGATAATGATGGTGGTTGTGATGGTGATGCGAGTCGAATGAACGAGCACATAATATCGGCCCGTATCGCCTATAGTTCTGGTGGTGGAACAAATCTCTCGGATAAGGACTATAAAACGTAGGCTTAGTGTAGGACTACACACGGCACGTGTGCACTTTAAGGAACCCTATACATCTTTCGAGACGAGTTGGGGGTTACTTCGGTGTAATGGTCCAAAATGATGACAGATGAGAGTAGCTGGTACCGGTTTACCGGGTAGCTCAGACATGAAGAGACCCTAGGGGAGAAGAAGGTTACTGTACGAGCTAGACCACCCCTCGACCACTTTGAGACTTGTAAAACGCTATATAAATCGAACTACATTACGCTACATAAAATAATAATAATAATAATAATAATAATAATAATGATAATAATAATAATAATAATAATAATAATAATAATAATAATAATAATAATAATAATAATAATAATAATAATGTTATATTTATGTAGCGCATATTGCACATTGCCCCTATGCGCTTTACAAAGAAATAATATAGGCCAACCAAGAAAATCCAAATAACAATAAAATAACAATAAAATAAAATAAAAAATAATAATCATAATAACAATAATAACGATGAGACTAAACTACTCCTGTTCCTTACATGATTTCATGGGTAGGAGGCGAACAATGACAGTGGCAACAGTCTACAGTAATAATAATTTTATAATTATTATATTTAATTTATAATACGTAGTGCATTGCCATTCATTTATTCTTACCTTCATCATCAAAATAGTGAATACTATATTGTCCACTGCTAGTGGTTGCGTTACACGATATATTTACTGCTTCCTCTGGTATTTCAAATTCAACCTTATTTTCACCAGATTTGAGAATCTGCGAATCGACTATGAGGTTGACGGTGGCGGGACTTGGGTAACTGGTCACCTCACAGACTGCTTTGTGGTGATGGTATTCAGTTTTCTCAAACCTGATGTCTATAAAGAAGCGTAAATACTTACAGAGACGCCTACTTATTCAACACTATAATACAATTCAAAAACATAAACGATTAAGCTCATTCAGGCTTATGCATCCTCTGTCAAAAACGTGTTATGTTAGAAATGTAATATTTTTATTTGTGGTATGACATCATCATTCCGATATTTAGATGTGATATGGCATCATAATGCTAATTTAGATGTGATAATGTATATGTGATATGGCATCATAATACTAATTTGTGAGAAATTAAAACAATTCCGTTAACTTTATTGTGTGGATAGAACTAAATTATATATCTTTTATAAGCTCGTTGTAACTTTATGAAATCATTATTGAATATTTTGTGTTATCAATTCTATCGGCAGCTTATAGAATATCCTTATTAATAAGCACTAGATCCACTCACAGTTCACTTTGAGCGATGGCTGATTCCAGGAGGGCGTTACTTTTCCGTCCGCTTCTATCTGGCAGCTATAGATGCCAGCATCACTGCTAACAGCCGTTTTGATCATCAGTATATTTAAGTCATCAGATTGTGTGTATCGATCATCTACGTCGATGGTTTTGTTACCATGGTACCACGTGACAGCATCTGTCACTGCATCAGGCTGAATATTGCAAAACAATTCCACTACCTCTCCTTCATCTACGACATCGTCTTCAATGTGAATCTCTGTTCTGTCTGGAAATATACACATTTAAATGTGTGTAGTGATAATGCATAAATATGAACCGCTTCACTAAGCCCCACCCCTTGGATATTGTTGTTATAGCTAAGGTCCAAGAACGACCGCGTAAACGTGTGTTAATGGGACGTACGTGCGCGTGTCTCTATCCATATTCTGATTGGTCAATTGTTAAATGTGATTGACACTCTGAAAAGGAATAAGTGGGGTGGATGCAGGGGGTACAACTGTGCAATCGCACCTCCACCCCCCTCCCAAATTGTATTAAGAAAAATAATTGTTGTATCGCATTGTTGATATATTATTTTGATCTTAAAAAATATAGTACCGATAAGCTTTTAAAAGTATGAGAGTACAATTTCCGGGCATCTTAAGGTCCATATTCTCAAAATGTACACCACAGCTCCAACCATGATGGGGCTGAGGTGGTGTGGATTCTCACGCACCCCCTACAACCAAATCTTGTATCCGCCCCAGTAACTTAGCATTGAATGGAATTTATTTTCTAAATTATAATTCTTGGAAAATGTGTGAATAATATATGTAGGCCTAACATTCACAGTTATGTCGTCTTACACAATAAAAATTTTTGTTAGGCAACATATTACTGAGGGCGCACAAAAACACGTTGAGGACGCATGATGCACACTCCTTCGGAATGCATCTCATCAGTAGCTGCCGGGGGGGGGGGATGCCAGTAGAGAATCAACCTCCAAGGCAGGTAATATAATAATAATAAGCAAGGTGCTTTTCCGGTCCGCTAGTTAAACATGATCTATAGTTAAAATTACCTGATCACGCGTAAAGAGAAGCCTAGATGACTGAGATATATACAGATCGTTCCCACTAAGGACACCGTATTAGAAACCTTTTAATTCATTTATAATTTTGAATAGCTCATTTAAAACGATCAAATAAGTTATTAAATTCCAACCAGAAACTGATTTTGGCCCCATTAAAAAAAAATATTAGTTTATCACCCTATCAAAGAATAAAAACTGATGTTCACAAGTACAATCAATGGTTAGGGACACATATATAAAAATTTATAAGAATGGAATCAAATTTATATTTTAAAAAGATGTTTTTGTTGTAGCAGTAAACATATTTGCACGAAATCTTGAGCTTTTCAAGTGAAAAAAGATGGAAAAATGACCGTTTGAAATAAAAATATATATTGGGGGAAAAAATCAGATTTTCCCCAAAAGTGGTGAGGGAGCGGGTGATAAACTAATAATTTTTTTGGGGCCTTATAGACATTGTGCTACAAACATCCTTAGGCCTAAATTGATTACCAGTTAATCCATGGTCTGGAACCATATGCGGCAGAATATAGGAAAGGCAATATTAAACAAATTGACCGGGAAATCTCTTCTTATTAATAGTTTTTAAATTGTACTTTAATAAACAAATTAGGCAATTCCAATATGGAATTGAATACAGTATTTCAATTTGTGTTGACCACATGAAAGACGGCGCATCATTAACCTAACATAACTGCTACTGCTGTACTTACAAGCCGTTGATAGATTTGCTGATCCGTGTCCGATTAAGTCACCACTACCAACCGTTACAGTGTAGGTGTTGCTGTCGTTACGTTTGAATGAACTAATGTGTAGGGTGCAGTTCCCGTTTTCTTCACTAAGTAAGGAGAACCTTCCGTTTACTGGGTTAACTGATGAAACTAAAGTGACATCATTACGATCACTAGATAGCCGCCATGATATACGAGATGAGGTAGGGGGGCTATAACGACATGGTATCGTTGCATTCGATCCAATGTATGCCTCGGAATTCTCTACGACTATTTCGGGTACATCTGAATATGCTGCAAAAACCATATCACATAAAGAGGATAATGATCAATATGTATAGAAAACAATCTATTACTAACATGGTGTTTAATTAACACGTCATTTTTCGTCTGATATTTCCAACCAATGTTAACATTATTCATCCATTCTCTATAACGAAACCCTCTCAGAAATATAGTTGAACGACTTTTAAACAGACTAAATATTTGGAAAATATGTATAAAGGGAAAAAAATATCAAACTGGTTAAAAGGAATAAGTCTAATCATCGCCTTAAATCCTAGAAATATACTGAATTGGCAGCCTGTTTTTTGTTTTTTTTTCTTAATAAAGGATATTCATACACATGGAAAACAATCGTCTCAAGACCTTAAGTGCAACGGACACATTTAACTGCACAACATTATTAGACCTATTGTTGGTTGATACGTTAAACACAACTTTATAGAGATTATATTAATGCAAGGATTATTTTTACCAGAAATGTCTGCTTTAAATGGGTAATGATCTTCCACCATCACAAGCAGCATTGTAATGCTATTGTTATAAAATTTCTCTTTTTTGTACTAGATTATGTGTGTTATTTACTAGCTTAGGCCCATTGTAGGATTACTCTCTATGGACGCACTATCCAAACCGTGTATGGCACGGTTGAGTGGCAATACAAACTAAACTACTAGAAGAGGATATACACTGTAATACTATTATCAAAATATCTACCGATTACATTAATTAAATATTAAAAATACATATATAGCATATTACCTTGCTGTGGATACAACAGAGCCATTGACAACACAAATATATATAATGCAGCCATTTGGTTCAGTGTCCAATTCAGAAAACAGAGACTAGCAACCGTTTACAGAATACTTACGCTACATGTAAGTACAATTCCAAAGTTCAAGTTCAAATATGAATCAGACAAAAATAAATAACGATCGTCTCACCAAATGCTGTACAAACACAATGACTTTTGTATCCTTTCATGAACACTCAATGAAGAACCAAATCAGGCTTATAAAGTCTCATAATCTATAGTACCCCACATTCATAACCACAACATAACATAAACCAGAATGAAATGAAATGAAAAAAATCATATACTCAGAAAGAATAAGCTACGGTAATTGTTTAAAATTATTGTCTAAACATTCACAACTACTATAAAATAAAAGGTCGTTTTGCAAAAGCGTATCCCTGGGCCAGCAACCTTTACACCTCTTTGATTTCAAAAATAACATTACCTCTTTTCGGTTATTATGAATGTATCATTGTAGGCCTAATATCAGTGCAAAAAAGTAGGAAGAAGAAAAATAAATTGAAACAAAAACAACGGCTATTTCTAAAAAAAAAAAACCAGGGAAACTAACTCGACGTTATTAAGATTCGAACTATAGCTGACATAGGGTGATATGAGGCTCAAAAACCACTGCTCGCTATTTGAGCCGAGGTTTCAATGGTAGTGTTATCGATCTGTTTTAATGGCAGACTTTCCGATAAAACTGTTATCACCGTGAGGGCCGTCTAATTTAAGTATCGCCTAATTGTAAATATATTTTAGCTTTTTTAGACTTTTTTAAAAATCATAATATGTATATAGGTTCTACTATGGTATTTACTTTTTTTTCAAAATTGTTTATATATTGCTAATAAATCCAATCGAATTCTCTTTTAAACCCATTTTTAAACATTTTAAAAATATTTTGAGCTTAACCTAATATCTCTAATTGAAATTTATTACCATCACCCCCAAGAAGTGAATTGATTTTTTTTATACTTCTTCTTCTTATCGTGTCCACGTGCTATACTTGGCCCATCCATAGCTGGACACACTTCTGTGCCTTTACGTTGTATCTGGCAAGATCTTCAGTGTTGCAGGTTTCCTCTAGGTTTGGGCATTGCAAGAGATGTTGCATTTTTTATACTGTGATTGTGTAATTTTTGAGCAATGACTTTCTCTCAATGTAATTTCCTTTTTGGACAATAAATTTGAATTTTGAATTTTGAAGAGTGTATTGCAATGAGCTCCATCTGTGGGGCTATCTGTATGTCTGTGTGTGTGTGGGGGGGGGGGGGGGGGGTGGTGTGGGTGTGTGTGTGTGTGTGTGTGTTTGTCCTTCCGGGAGCATGATCCTCAAAAACTACCGTATACTGGACCCTTTAACCATGGACCTTCACACTATTACATGTAATTTTGTGCGCAGCAGAAATAAGATTTAGATTTTAGAACGTTATTTATTTACAGAGTTTTAGGTAGCAACTGACAGAGTTAACTCAGCAGATCGTTCAATCGAGTCATTTGGCTAGGCCAGACTGCTTCGAGCGGATCGACCGCGGACCGACCATGTGTCAAATTGGCCGGTGGACAATAGAAGCTGTCTGGAAGGGTGCAAGACTGACTGACGGGCATGGATCTTGGGGCCTATGCTAAGCCTCGTTTGGTGGATGGATATGAGAAGTAAGATGAAGATTTTAGAATGTTTTTAATCCGCTGGCCCAATTAAAACAAAAAAATTGTGAAAAATAATAGTAATATAAAAAAGTATTCCATAGATGCACAAATAATTTTTTTTTTTAAATAATTAAAAAAATGGAAAATTTGGGCCCCATACCTTTGATTAATTTTACACATAATCACGTGCATCTTTACCGCTCGGCTACATTTCACCCAGGGACGTATCCGGGGGGTGGGGGCGGCTCCCCCACCTTTGTACACAGTGTTAAAATTTTAAAGCTTGTTCTTGAGCCAATACAAATTCTTTCCTGGGATCACTCAAAATGAATACTTCTAAAACATGTAAATATGCATCAGTACACGTTATACATAGGCTTAATAGAACACATAGGCTTAAACATGATTTAAAAAATCTTAAATCCATAAATCTCAGGCCAGGTCTTTTAAGATATAGAAATGCGATACTGTATGGTTCAGTTTCGTTTTTATACTTTTGTAAGTTTTGTTTATATATAATACTAATACTAATACTAATAGTAAAAATAATAATAACAATGATGATGATCATCATCATGATGATAATGATGACGATAGTAATAATTGATAATAATGTTAACAACAATAAAAAGTGAAGAAAATTGTGCTAAATGCGAAAAAAAGTTGTGATTTGTTGATCATAATTATTATAGTAGAGTTAAACCTTAGTAACATAGTAAGGCCTAAGTTGTCCTGGATATTAAGTAGATCAGCGTTCCGCATACTTTTTACTTCACTGCCTATTTATGATTTTATTTGAATGTTTTTTATTTTGTATGGTCCATATGTTATATTTTCCACAGACAAATAAATGAATACCTGAACTGATATTTTATGGGTTTCAGATTACTATATACAAAACAGATATCATAAATCATCTATTGCCCGACTGTGTGCATTGAACATTTGACGACGAAGATAATGTCTCCAAATTCCCAACCGTAACTTAGGCTACGGGCCTCGCTTGACACTTCACATCAAATGGCCTGTTAATTAATCTTGCACAGCTTCCTCCTCATCATCATCATCTTCTTCATCATCATAATTATTAATTGTCCATAGCAAAGTAGTGAAAAAATATGAATTCAGAGAGTATTCAATAATAGACGTTTCATAATGCACGAAGTGTATTTCAAAGAATCTAGGAAACAAAAACTTTTCGAATATCTAAAATATATCTTCCAGCGACAAAACAAGCTAGCTCTCTTCTCATGACCATCCCAACATGGGAACCCATCTGTGCGAGCCAGGGTAAACTCTGGATCCGCGCTTGACATGCATTTAATATTTTAAAAATGTATATTTACAGTATATTTATTTATAGAAAATAATGTTGCATACTAGCACTATCAGGAATAAATATACAGATAAAGGCTCCCGAGTGGGCATAGACACAAAACCGCTTATAATTAATCAAATAGCAAGCATCATCTGGCACTTTAGCAGCGTGTGCAAGCGACTCCTTCGCTGTAACAGTGAAGCGGCTTTATTAAAAACTATTTTCTCCATGATAAAACGTCTCTTTGTTATTTTTTTTTTTCAATTTCCAGACGGCTTCGCGGCCCTCTAAAAATGTTTCGCGGCCAAATTTGGGCCGCGGACCATAGTTTGTGGAACGTCGATCTAGAGATACTATTTCCTCAAATTTTCTCACCTCCTCAGCTCCAACCATGTGGGTCTGTATTTGGAAAAATAAGGAAAGAACAAGCCAGAACCCAAACCTCATTATGAAGATACGCCATCTTGCTGACACCAGGAATCTGTCAAAATGTAATCCGTTCATGGCACCATTTGAGACTCGGCTCCCAAGACTCAGGCGCTTCCAATCCTGGTAGAACTAGAGAAAAAAAAAACCTAGCTGGCGAGGAATGGAAAAAATAAACCAAAAAGAACGAAACAAGTAAATAACTTATCAATTCCCTGGAATTGACACCCGAACACCCGAATCTGGATTTAATAATTCCTTCCTTGTAACGCATGGTTAAAGTTTCTAGAAAGTTTCATTTAGATAAGATAATCAGTATTTTGTATATTTGGTCTGGGACGTCTACCGTCCTCATGTCCACCATAGCAAGTTTCATTTATGTTTATAGAAACGTGTTTTTGGTAACATCAGCTGCAGTAGGACTCGTAGTGACAGATTAGCGAATGTATGGAAACAAGCCTGGTCAAGATAAGAAATTGTTGTAACTGCTTTGACTGGTTGAAAGTGCGGCGTGTAAATGTGATTGGAAAATAGAAATTTAATAGGCATGTAGCGTAATTAGGGATGCTTAGGGTCTTTCACAATATGAAACATTATGTAAGGGAAAATATTCATAAGTACTGTACTGCACAATCCCATTTATTGTTATTGAACAATATAAAAAGTATCAAAGTATAATTCGCGCGGAACATGTAATTTGAATATAATCTCGAGCGCTCACTCGGAAGCTGGGGGTACCTCATGCTCAGTAGAGGCATCCTTTCATGAGTACCTGTGTCCCTCCTGTTATTATTTTAAGCGTCTTAATGTATTTCCTGGATTTTAGCTGAGGCTTATCATATAGGCCTAACTTAAATACTGTATCTAATTTTAAATAATGAGCCCACTAAGATCTCTTCCTAATTTCATATACAAATATCGTCACTGTCTTCATTCATAAAACTGACGTCACTGATTCAAGCAAATGTCTTCATGGTGAACGTCAGAAGAGATTACAGTTTCATACATTTATAAAACTTCATGGTTTATTTTACATGTAAGTTTCAATCGGATGAGTAACCGTTTCATACAGATAGCGTCATGGTTTCATGATGTCGCAGTTTCATGCCATGATTTCACAGTTAAAATTGTTGACACAGTTTAATATACTTCATGGTTTCCAAGGCGACATGTTATCATACTGTTGAGGAACCACCATCTGTGAGTGTCAACTCACCGTATCTTTCTTCGAGCTCAAAATCTGGGGGAAAAAAAGATATTTTATATAGTTTTTTAATTGGTCTTATTTAATAGGTTTAATAACAATACGCTCCCTTAATTTTACAACTGGTCTAATACTGTATTTTTGTTCAAAAAATTTGCTCAATGAAACTCACTTGGACCTGGTCGCAGAGCAAGAAAAACGATTAACACAATTGCGGACAATAACAAGAAAATCAGAACCGATGTCAGAACCCCAACCAGAGTTTGGTTACCGAGATCTGGGGTTTAGAAATAATCAACAACTTGTTAAAAATATAGACAATTTGAGTATTTAAAAAACGTTATTGTCATGTATAATTATAACAATAATAGCAAAATTTACCGTCAGGCTTCTCCGGCGAAAGATCTTCTGAAAAGGTAAACATAATAAATGTAATTCAGTACAAAAAAGTTACGTTACCGATATATCCTTTGTTAATATTATAAAATATATCGTATTAATATATGTAGGTATATGTTATCTGTACACATGTAGGCCCCAGGTTGCTGATTTTGTATTAACGCTTTAAACCTGATTTATGAAGCTCGCTTTAAAGTACTTTTACCTTTTGGGCAGTATATTTCTGTTCTGTTTCCCGTTCCAGCCTTATTTTCAGCAAAACATGTAACAGTATTGCAAAAGCGTTCATCAATGGTTACTTCAATTGCGTCTGGTTGACGGGAGCCATTAATGTAGTAAATAACTTTGTCAATGGTAGGATTTCCATATGGAACACATCGTATGGAATTTCCTTGTTTGCGTAATGTGAATCTAGGGGAGTCTGCGTAAGAATAACATATTACCAATTAACTCTACACAAAGTTTTTACAAATCTATACTATTTTTCTAATAAAAAAAATATTACAACCAATTTTGAATACTTTCTTGCATGTACAATACAGCAGATATTATTTATACAAACATGTTATTAAATCGAATTAAGCTTAATGGGTTAAAAAAAAATACATAAGCACACACAAACGACGTTAAAATACAGATCAACATTCTTAATCAGTGCACAGAAAAACCCTCTTACGCACATTATCAGTATTCAAGATTCAATTTTGCGTGAGTACATCTTAAGTAATCAAATATTTATCTAAAAAAAAACATTAGTTCCATACAGTATATAGATAAAATATACATTATGGTAACTTTTTAAAATACCTAAAACGATTCTATTTATTGTACAGACAACATCAAGGTACGGCTACAGTTGACCTCCGAAGTAAATGGCAACGGAACTTAACATCAATACAACATTCTTTGTCTACTACCACAAGAATAGTCATGTGGCTCAGATTATTGCAATTTAAGTTTACATGTTCAGATAGGGCCTATACTGAAAGCGAAGAAGTGGCAGTATGAGAAAATGTAGCAGAACTTAAAATTTATAATAAAAAAACAATAGGATTAATTACCAAAAAGAGTAAACTTGCTTGGATTTTATAAATAATAGACGATGATGTGCAAAAAATAAAATTGAGGCCAATGCAATGGAAACATGATACTTATAACATTAAGCCGCTAGAATAGAAATCAGATCCAACACGAAAGAGAGAGATAATGTATAAAAATTATGATGTGGCCTATGCAATGATACGTAGAAGTAGCTAGCATGGAAATCAGATTCAACATGAGGCAACGCAGACACAAATCAGATATAAACAACTACACAATATGAAGCATTACCGTAAATGCTCGAATTTTTTTCGCTAAGCGCCGCTCTCGAATAAGCGCCGCGGTGCTTCAAGTGATATTAACCAGTGTGTAATGGAACACTTTGAGAAAATACAATGTATACAGTGTTAGAGTGAATAAATAAAACAATGAAGACACAGGCACTTCTCTATAATCGCTTATGATGACGTACGACCGATGATAGGCTACTGAACGGGAATACGTGAGACAGGTAACATGGGAACGGGCATGGAAAACTCGACTCCAATATAGTTTTTATAAGCGCCGTTTTCGAATAAGCGGCGCTCTTAATTAAGCGTCACACTGAAGCCTCTAAAAAAAAATGTATAAGCGCCGCGGCGCTTTTTCGAGCATTTACAGTCTATACCCAGACTCAAAACAGACAAACACAAACAAAAGTTTAGGTATATTTTACATAGCGAATAATCTTGTATGTGTTAAACAGTCACTCGGACCGACCTCTTCATTTGCAACAAAATTTTAAAACATAAATGGGATAATAAATGAAAAGAAAAGACTTCGGTGGGTGCATAACGGGTGAGATGCTAAGAGTACGAAAACTAACTGGACATACAGTGTACATCTAAGTATAGTTCGTCACTAGACTTTGATCCAGCCACATTCGACGCCATACACGAGAATGTGGTATGATCCGCATAGCCAACGTAGTATATTTTTAGTAATCCTGTTTTGGACGACTGGACGTATCTTTGATGATCTAGTGCAATTTCATGTCCTTGTCGATACCACTTGTACGTAGCAACAGGTTCAGCAACCGCAGAACAAACCAAATCTACGACATCGCCCTCAACAATCTGCAAGCTAGGTAGTTCAATTTGTGGCTTTTGTATCCCTAATAGATTCATATAATATAATAGGTTATCTTGCTGGATCTTAGGCAATACAGTATGACAGCCATGTGCACAATAATTGTTCATTCTGTAACATAATGTGTTTTGATTGTTTTACATGTGTTTGTTAATGTTTTGGTTATAAAAAGCGCGTTGAGACAATTGAGACAATTTCTGATTGTGTAATGTGATGTTACACACACACACACACACACACACACACACACACACACATGTATATATATATATATATATATATATATATATATATAATATTTCAACCTTAAATGTAATTCAAAATGAATTTTAAATTAAATTTATGTAATTTTAATCTTTACAAATATTATATCATATTATATATATATATATATATATATATAATATAGAATATATTTTTTTTAATGTATTTATAAAGTTAGCAGTGCAATGGTTATAAAGTGTCAATTTAAATAATGATAAAAGGCGCAGTTCGTAAATATTTATTGGAGACCTATATAGCGCATAGTCTCTTTGATCCTTATAGTTCTAAATTATTTATCTCCGACTCTTATTGGTTAATATGATAATGATATCCCAACTTACATAAGACATTTAACTGAACAGTGGATGTAGAAGAGCGCAGCTCAATGGAGCTGTAGATAGAACAGACATATGCTCCTTCGTCACTTCGTCGAACGTTGCTTAGAAACAGACTAGCTTGGTCGACGAGGGCGTATCGCTCATCTAAAGCTCTATTTCTAGTTATTAACTGTCTGCCATAGACATCACTTCCATCGTCGATGCTCCAGGTTACGTCTGCACCAGTTTGAGGCGTGTAAGTGCACAATAAGGTCGTGTTACCACCCTCTATGCCTTCTTGTTTTGAGTTTGTTTTGACGTTCAATGCTGCTAAAATCCGACCTAAAGAAATAGATTAATTTTAAGTATCTATTACACATCTACTTTTTAAGATCACGGTATGGCATGAGTGTGGTTTCATAACGGATGAAAATGATGATATATTTCAAAGAAATTTTCTGATATATTGTCTATTCTTAAAAGAATATTACAAACGTCAAGATATTATAAACGGAACCAGGCTTTAAACCAACAACGACAGTAGGATCATTTATCACCTGGACGTCACATAGACTGACACATTGTTTTAATTTAAATTTTCAATGCGAACATTCAATAAATGATAATAATGAAGATTGGTAATATTAATAATGACCATTACTTATTCATATCAAACAATAATTATAATATAGCATAGAGGAATTAGATTTTTAATTCCTCCATGAATATAGTAACACAAATAGTTATACATTTTTTTATATAGGAATTTATGATCAAATACGTACCTAATATTGCTATCACCAAAAGAAAACAGGTTAAGACTTGCTGCATGTCCTCTGCCAAAAAAACAAACAAAAAAACCAACAAATATTGTAAATTATATATAAAATGAATATATTACTGACAAATACATTATATAAAATGAATAAAATATATATACCTTTGAAATAAAATAAATATAGTAAGCCCTGATATATCATTAGGGCCTGTATCAAAAGAATATAGTATTAGTGTGATATATTATGATATAATTAGAACTAGTCTATGATGATGATGATGATGATGTAATTTGATTCGGTCGAACGCACAACGATTCAACTAAATAATAATAATAATAATAATAATAATAATAATAATAATAATAATAATAATAATAATAATAATTGGTTGACTATTATTTTGTTCAACAGTCGTAAATCTGAAAATCCATGCCGCAAATTCAGCTTCGACCTCGCATGTAACTTTTAAAATTGAGTCATACATAAACTTATTCTACATTATACTCTATAATGTCTTGCATATACTTGAATCTTTACCTACTAAACTGTCTTGTACCTACTAAACGTCCTGGACCTACTAAACGATGGTATCGTTGAAAATATTACAGGAATATTACTGAATCAAGTCAACAATTACTATACAAATATTGTGAAGAATAAGCTAACATTACCATGACCTCACTTACTTGCTCAGTATATACTCAACCCAAACTGAGTCCATTCAAATAGTGGTATCCTCGTTTGATGACCAAGAGATAGAGATGCTAAAAGTTTGGATGCTAGGCCGTCTGGTAGGCGAACCGACGAGTAGGCTTATATGGCGTTGTTTGTTGGATTAATATCAACAGACTAATTATCATACTACCATCATCTAAATCAACAGCTGAACAGTTTAAGTATATTTATTATGAAATGAACTTTGTCACCGCGGTCACCTGTTCAAAGAATAATTTACAATTCAAATAATTGTCATCGGTATATAATGCAGGGTAGGCCTATGTAATAAGTGTAAAATATAAATAAGCGTACAACTATGTAATTGCATCTCATTTTTTAAGATTTCATAAGTAAATTTGATTGTTAACTCCGTCAATATTGTTAACTCCGTGAATATTATTCAAGCATTTTATTAAAAATCCACATTTTATTACTATTACATTACAAACTGTTCTAAATAAATAAATAAAATTAATCCCTGACTCTGACGGATCATGGAGCTCTTATATGTGACCTTGGGGTGCTGCGTGTTTGATGTCGGGTTGTCATCGGACAGTGGTGTCTGACTGATCGTATGCGCCTTGAGCACCATTGGTGGAGATGTGCGCTTTATAAATCTTTATTATTTTTATTATTATTATCGTGGCAGGCATGTTGCTCCTGCGGATCGCTGATTCTCATACATGCATGTGCCAATTTGGTTTTGGGTATGGGAGCTCATGATCCATGATCTCTTTGTCTATTTAAAAAAATTAACTAATTAAATTAATTAATTAACAATGTTATTCTTGTTAAGTGTTAACTAATTTTTGTCGATTGATGCTGGGATGTCCTCGAAAGTGATTAAGTTTACTATTGGTTTCCCCCGGGTGTTAATTTGACTACTTTTTTGTACTGTATTACTTGTTCATTTTGATTTGTTGTAAATTTTTACCGGAATAAATAAATTAAATTACATGAAAATGGACTTCTTTCCATTACATATTAGATTACCTGCGCGAAATCCATAAGTAACCGATGATGTTAGAGTACTGAAACATGTTTTGGGCCGCAAAAGCCATGTAATTATGCATGGTTCATCTATAATGAAGTAAGAATTATTGTGCTGTTTTTCAACATCACCAATACTATCAGAATCATCATCATTACCATCACAATAATCATTATCATCACAACCACCTCCATAACAATAATCATCATCCTCATTTTCATATATTATTTTATTAGTTGTATTATCATGATTACTATTATTCATAATAATAATAATAATAATAATAATAATAATAATAATAGTAATAATATTATTATTATTATTATTATTATTATTATTAATATTAATTATTATTATCATTATTATTATAAAGTAAAATCACCAAATGCAATGGCGCCACCTATTTTATTAAATCACAGTGATTATGATTGATTTTGTCGAAGTGTGTGATAAGCAAATTTGATTACGGTATATCATAAACATAGTGACCCTACGAGTGGCGAAATACGCCCTTCCTTGTTGAGTGTACATTACACTGACATTGCAATCGGCCAAAGTTCACTCATTTTTACTTGTTAACTCTGGATGCTATTTCAACTGATACTCTGAATGGAATAACAAAGTTAGAAGTAAGTTCTAAAAAGTCTTAGTTGAACGAAATATTGTTTGATATAGTGTTATTTTCCAAATAATTATTTTATACTCATTCCGTTGCGGTGGTCAAGTTCTCTCTTACTTGTTTGTTATGTAGGCCTATATTTATTTTACATTGTTTTTGTGAACTTACTAGGTTTCACTCTGGGATTGATGTGAGAACTTTTATACCAAATAAATAAAAAATATACAAATATATAAATATTCAATTTCTGGTAAATCCGCCATCGAGATTAAGAGCATCTTTTACATTGTATGAATGAGCTACCAACTGTATAGTATAGTAGAACGTCCTTAACAATGGGTATTTGACCATAGTATGAATGTAGATCCATAGATGAAAGACATGGTAACGGTATATTATTTAGTGCACTTAATCAGTCCGTAGAAAAATTAATAATAATAATAAATAATAATTAATTATAATAATAATAATAGTAATAGTAATAATAATAGTAATGATAATAATAATAATAATAATAATAATAATAATAATAATAATAATAATAATAATAATAATAATAATAATAATAATAATAATAATAGTGTAGGCCATTGTGTTCCCTCGAGTGAGTAGGCCTATTCTAAAAAGCGTCTCTCAATACATAAGACTTGTCATCCATTCCTCATCTGATACGTAATGGATAGAGGTTATAGAGTGTCAAATAAATCTGGACTTATACATTGTGGATAGGTGGTCTGACATATTAATTTTATCTGTTCTGTTATAACAACAATATTGTGGTGATGGTGTTTTCAATTAAATTTATTATGAAGCTCATGAAACGGCCATCGATCTGAAGCTTGACATTGAAATTTAATTGACACTGAAGCTTAATTTACAGTTATTAACATTTAGTGGCTACCTCATTAATTGCCATTATTAGTTTCTCGCGACACTCATGTTGACGTCGGGCTAGTTACCACTGCATTTTCTTTAATATCCAGATTCAGCGGCACTGTATTTGTACTAAATTTTTGGGCATCAGAGGATCTAGGAATATTGACAAAAAGGTAGGATAGGGGACGTAATTTTCATAGCAAATACACTCGAACTGATTAATGAATTTCTATCATTCATTTTTTTTTCTTTTCATAGAATTAACTATGAAGAAATTATTATCACTGTTAATAATTGCGATCATAATTAAACAGCAATGTTGTCAAGGTAAGACTAGACATATAGGCTATATAACCTGTTTAAAAATATTACTTTAAATGTTTGAACGAATCAATGTTTAATGTAGAAGGCTCTAGTAAAGTCCAATACCAAGATGTCTTTCGATATATTATTATTACTTAATTGAATGATAAACAAACAAAATCGTTTTTATATATCATTTGGACACATAAGCTACAGTATTATCAATAGCAAACTTATAATTACTGTTTAATATAATAAGTGGCAATCCCGTTGACATAATAGCCTATTATAACAGCTTAGCTCAGTCGGCTAATCTGGTGGTAGCCACTGTGTGCGCTGAACCGTGGAGATCTCTAGGTCCCCGGTTCAATTCCCATCACTGCTTCTCCTTGTGTTTCAGCTGGAGGGCTGAAATACAAGTTACAATATCATATACATGTATCTATCATATTTTTTAAATATATTAAATCCTATATAAAGCTAATGTGTACATTTGTTGAAGCAATGCGCTTTATCTTTTTTACAGAAGACCTACCTGCTATAAATGTCATGGTTGTGCATAGGGTATCAGCCAAAGAGGGCGACATTGCCAACCTATTCTGTAATTTTACAGCAGTTAACTCAGTTGGCGATGTTGACATCAAATGGTATACGCGAATCTTTTCCTCCTATTACGTAATAGCCTCCGCGTCAAGTAATTCACCGGTTGTGCTGGAAAGTTCAAGCTTAATAGATAGAGACCGGTATGCAATAACTGATATGGCCACTCTGGAAATCGATAACGTTTCGAGATTGGATACTGGGCAGTATAAATGTGAAGTCTTTGATTCATCCAATAGCTCCATCGGAGATTATGGCACAGTCAACCTCACTGTCACTTGTAAGTGTAAAACATAAGCCAGCCCGCCCCTGCTGCTGGTAAGCGTACGTAAGTGCGTTTGTGGGACAACATAGTCTGTGGGACAAGTGCGTACTGTTCTAATTGGTCAGAATGTTTGAATGACACTTAATATAAAAACAGAATACTTGTCACGCCATATCCGTAACTATCTGCTTATTTCTTTGTATTTTGTTTCATTTTAAATCGATAGCTCGATTTTTTTTTTAAATGATTATTCCACTCTCGATTAAATTAACTTAGGAAATAAACCCCCCTGTTTTTAATGACATACAGTAGAACAATGGATAACCCCTATTCAGGGGACACCCCAATTAAGTGGACATTTTTTTGGTCCCAAAGGTGTCACCTTAATAGGGGTTCTACTGTAATACTAATGGCTACGGTGCGTTCAGATAATTTCCAAAAACAAGAAATAATGCCTACAGTTTGCCAAATACTGATTACATGCATACAATTAATAACATAATATTTAGTGTAAGCAGGACTTAAAAATCGATTTCGTTTTACCTTCCATTCAGAGAGAGCAGCTTAGCTAAGTCGGCTAATCTGGTGGTAGCCACTGTGTGTGCGCTGAAACGTGAAGATCCCTAGGTCCCCGGTTCAATTCTCATTGCTGCCTCTCCATGTGTTTCAGCTAGAGGTCTGAAATACAAGTTACAATAGCGCACCGTCTTTCGGATGAGACGTTTAAGCCGTTGGTTCCGTGTGCATTTATGGCCCATGTGCATGTTAAAGAATGCAGTACACTCTTTGGAAAAGAGTAGGGGATTGTCTCCCGGTGTACTACCCAATCACCACCAGAAGGACCTCACTGGAAATAAGTCTTCTTCTAGACTTTCGTGGGGCTATCCTTGGTGTTTACACCGAATAAATCCAATCCAATCCATCAAACAAAAAAAATTCAAAATATGTCAAGTATTAAACTAAATGTGGTATGTATTCAATTTTAGTGAAATACTGTAATGTTGTGTTAGATCATCCTTCCAATGCTTTTCAAATATTCAAATTATTTTTCCCAGATTTTGATTTACCGGTTTCCTTCGAAATATCTCCAAGTGAAGTTGAAATTGGTCTGAATACCAAACTCTCTTGCGAAGTAACGAGTTATCCACTTGCTAACATCACATTCTGGAAAGGATCAGAGAAAATGCAAGTTGACAGTGAAAAATATTATGACGCTTATGAAGGAATGTGGATAACCAATATCCATATTGATGACGATGGAGAATACACATGTCTGGCAGATAATGGCATCGAGCAGCACTATGCAGATCCTATTACGTTAACAGTGCAGTGTTTGTATTCAATTAAAAACATTACAGCATAACCCCGAGCGGCATCGAAACTATTATTAGCATGATGAATATGATGATGATGATGATGATGATGATGATGATGATGATGATGATGATGATTATGACGATGATGATGATCTATGATAATAATGATAATGAACAATAACAATATCAACAACAATGACGATTCCGATAACAATGATAATGACGGACGTACACCTATGAGTACGGGTTTACAGGTAAACGCAGCCAAGAGTCAGTGGCGGCGCCAGTGAGCGGAGACGAGGAAAACATCCCATTTTTTAATGGGGGGGGGGGAACCCAAAATAATGTGTGGTCTACCTTTCTTCCGAATGGAACAGTCCAACTTCTTTCAACTAATGAAATCATTGTGTTAGGTGGAGGCATGAGATTGAACAAACTGAAAGTCAGACTCCGGAGGAAAAAATGTTTTGATATGTTGTAGAACTGATTATTTTAAGACATAAAAACGTTGTTTGACGAAAAACTGGGGAACGGTAAACGAGATACAGATATTTGAATATTTAAAAACTGGGGGAAAAGTGGCGTAACCACCCATTTTTACACCTTTATCCCCCAGTTTTTAAATATTAAAAAATCTGTATCTCATTCACCGTTGCTCAGTTTTTGATCAAACTACCTTTTTTCTGTCTTAGAAAAATCAGTTCTACAACATATCAAACAATTGTTTCCTTTGGAGCCTGACTTGAAGAGAACAAAAATGATTGCACACTAAGAGAATAGCACAAATGCCAGATTGACTTTACTTTGTCTAGGCTGATTGTAGCAGGGGTTACTTATTTGGTAAACCAGAGAGATGTTGGGTAAACGCATTTTTAAGTTAACGCTTTGACTCATTTATCCTGCCTACGTTTGTTCAATCATTAATGTCTAATATTTCTTTCAGTGCAAACATCTGCATTGACGAGTGGTGAGGTCGCTGTAATCGTTGTCTGTTCATGTTTTGTTACTGCCGCCCTTGTCATTTTAGTAATGTATCTTAAAAGTAAGTGACATGTCCTATTATCGCCATGTAGAATCTAATACTAAACCCGCATTAGTGTAACCAATACTCCGCCATATCAATCGGCCACTCATAATGGAGAAAACAATTTTGCAAATAATCGTGAGAGAGTTGGTAAACATTACAAAAAGTTTGAAAATCATACTAGGTCTAACTTTGTTTTGTTTACTGTTTCTGTTATCATTTTCAGGTAAATACGCTCATAGAAAGGCAAGGTACGTCAACATAATAGGTAGGGCCTATTTATACACAGAGCCTGTCATCAAAGGATACAAGGCGTAAACTGAACAGTTATATAATTATTACCTTTTCATAATGAGAACTGATGGGAATTCTATAGAACATATTTAATGTCATTCAAATCGATATATGCACAATGGAAAATAACTCAAACATGAGGTTAACAATTAAGCCTAACATACAACCCGTCAATATAATGACAGTAAATTTGATGTTGAAATTTATCCATCATATTAATTATATTGTAACCAATAATTATCATTACCAAGCTAATCATTGAAGTGTGTGCAATTCCTTTACAGTAAAAAGTTGAAACGACCGTCAAGACAAGAGGTGAGTATACAGAATAACGCCGATCAGATACTTCGACACCGCTTTGTTATGGAACGCCAAAGGGGCAACTAACAAACAATTTTAGAGTTCCATATTCTGTCACATACAGTCTTCATATTGAGACCCTGAACATAAGTCTCTGTCTGTAGGTTTTTTCTGTGGAGTGTGAGTCCTTCTAGTAGTTCTACTTCTAGTTATCTGGCGTTTTTCCCGTAGTCTAGCGCTGTTCCAGTGCAGTGCAATAAACACAAATTTAGGGGCGGATCCAGGGCGTAACAAAAGCTCCACCCCTCAACAACAACATCCCACTTCCGAAAAAGCAGCCAAAAAGTAACCAAGTGTGAAGTTTAGATGATATAATTGAAATGGCTAAAACTCCGAAGCTGGACCCAAGTACGCCCAACCAACCCAACCCTATGATCTTTCCACTCCCCGTAGGGCCTCGATTGTCACCGACATGTGTTTTTCCCTAATGTTTTATTTTTTTTTCACGACTGATAGGCTTCTACTTATTGATCCTTACTATTCATATAGTACACTAGGTATAAAATGTATTTTAATAATTTTTTTTTCAATTATACTGTAAATTTAACAGACATTAGGCACAAGCATACTTAGCAGGGCATCAATAGGCCTACCAACAGATTCGTGGGAAATAGTGCGAAATAAATTGGTGTTGAAAGAGGTCATAGGTGAAGGCTTTTTCGGGAAGGTCATACGAGCTGAATTTTATTTGAAAGGCAAAAAAGGAAAAACCCCCGTAGCTATCAAAACCCTCAAAGGTGAGTAGTCAGAACTCAGAACAAGGATAGATACTCAACTCCATTCTAAATTATTTTTCTTATTCTGGACAGCGCCACCAACGAGTAATTTAATTTAGAAACGGAATTTTAAAAAAAGGAAGAAATCGAGTATGGGACGCCAATGTAATTTGGTATTACACGCACTAAGCGCAATAAAAAGTGAGTAACCCAAATTTAGGGCCTGGATTAATGGGCTTGGACGTATACATTTCCTGAAGTTGTGGTAACCCTACTAAAAAAAAACGAATAACCAAAAGAAATAGAGGTATAAATGTATAAATTGATATTGATACCGAATAAATAAAATAAAAATAAATATAATTCGTGACATACGGTACTAAATCAATATGAACACTGTGTGTATGTTGATTAAACTTTCTCATCTATGCTGATCTGCGAGTGTGAAAAATCGGTTGTGAAATTCGAACGCCTTATCCAACTGGGCAACTGGGTTGGGAATTCGAATCCAATTGGAGGGTATTGATTTCATACAAATGAAAGACCCCATCGGAAATAAATTAACTTGTGGGTGGTCACTGCATCCATTCGTATATATTTTTGGCAATTAATTAATTTTACATTTCAATTTTAATAACGCTGTTAGCATCTTGTATCTTTAATGTTGAAATTATAATAAATTGAATGGATGCTAAATAAACAAATAAAATAATATGTCTGTAGGGCCTATAGGTCTATAGGCCTATAATCTACAACAGTCCTGGGATACTGAGAAATGTATTAAAATAAATTAATAATTTCGTGATTGTTAGATGAATGCAAGACTACAGAGAAGTTCAGATTACAGGATGAACTGGAGCTCATGAAGACCTTTGATAAACATCCAAATATAATTGATTTAATCGGATGCTGTACAATAGATGGTAAGTCAAGATTTCGTACTGCTGTACTTCAATCGTGCTAGGTCTACAGTACCACATTACACTCCATGAAGAAAACTACAAATTTCTTATAACACCACCATTATAGTAGGCCTAGTGCGTTAAAATACAGCATTATTTATACCATGGAGTTGTTATAGCTGGTTGTTTATAACAGGGTGTTACAGAGTAGGCCTTGAGTAGGCCTTGGCTTAATAGGGCAGTAAATAGTAGACTATGACAAGGATAAGTAAGCAAAATCACGTTTTGTTTTTGTTTTTGTTTTTGTTTTTTTTTCTTTTTTGCGTTTTTTAGATCCAATTTATATTGTTCTGGAGTTTGCTCCATTTGGCAATCTGCGAGATTACTTATTCAAATCACGCAAATCAAAAGCCACTGCTCTACCTGTTCTTCAAGAATCAGAAGATGCGGCTTATGAAACTGTAAATTTTGAGCATGATGCCGCCCTCTCTCCACTAAGCGCTGATGATCTGACGTCATTTGCTTGGCAGATAACTCGAGCTATGTCGTACTTAACGTCCATAAAGGTAACCTCAATATTCAACCACTTTAGCGTAAATGAGACAAAAAATGTCTTTATGAGATACTCCTTTGTTTCTTATTATTAGAGATAAGGAAACTCTTTATTATATTATTGTATTTGAAATTCTTCCGTGAAACACACATTAAGGACAAACTTATTTTCCAGGGGTCCTTCTGGTGGTGAATTTGATAGTAGGCCTTCACCAACAGACATCTTCTGTTCGTTTGATGAAAAAACGTTACTTTCACTTATTTATTTATTTACTTATTTATTTATAAAGTGGAAATTTACCTAGATTGCTCAATAATTAGGTAATAGTATATAATATTGCATTGTGGGAATAGCAAGTATATAAGATATTTATGAATGATTATGAAAAATTTTTTTTTTTTTTTTTTGGCCTGGACGGATGGGACACAATAGGTAGTCCCCACCCCCTTCAGCCCGGCCAACATGTTTGGGGGTGAGGTGAGCAAATTTTTAGAAAAGGCACCTCAATATGCCCGAAAATTACACTCTCAAGCCTGTTTTCCACTCGCGCGCAGCCTCAGTTCATGCGCGTGCGTATTCACAGATTCGCGCGAATAAATTCGCCTAGCGGAACATGTTTGAGGCGGTAAACATGCTTTTTCAAACCATTGCTCCTCGACAAAGTTATTAATTTCTTCCCGACGGGAGATATGCTCCCTCTACCCTAGAAGACACGAGCGTCACGAAAGCCTAATTGGGGAACTAGAGTTTATTCTAAACTTAGAACCCACAAATTGGCGTTGGGAAGCGGCGTTGTTTTCATCGTTAATCTATAAAATAGAAAATTCAAAATTATGGTAAAATAATTCAGCGACCTTTCGTAAACTGCTGGATCCGTCACTCTAAAAATAATGTACAGTAGGCCTACACACCTAGTCACTCACTCCTGCCTGTCTAAATTTAACTTTATATGAAGAATCATATAGTGGTATACTGGGTGAAATTATATTCATAAAGATCATACTACGGTGGTATTGGTACAAGGAATTTTAATCAATATGTGTCAATTTAACTACTGCAGTGCGTTCATCGCGACTTAGCAGCTCGAAATGTGTTACTGACTCATGATAAACGCTGCAAACTCAGTGACTTTGGAATGGCGTACACCAAAAATCAAGGCGGGCTTTACGAGGACTTAAACCAGGTAGATATATTTCATATCAAAGAAAATCAATGAAACACACTCGATATTGTCGACATAGATTCTCTAAAATAGCGCCCTCTGTAATTTCTGCCTTAAATGTGTGGGGGAAAAATAATGTATCCTGGACACCTATCATTTCTTAATTCAATTTAAATTTTATATATAAGGTGGAAATGTTGCAATAATTCATGTTTCCATCATACAGAAGGCAAATGGAATTAAATATCTAAACATTTAAGTTGCACTGTTAGCGAAAATAGTAATACTGCGTTCACGCTATTTTGTCGTAATGTTCGAAACATTTTTGTTCCAGCCTAAACTACCAATTCGGTGGATGGCCCCGGAAGCTGTTCTGGACAACATTTACACGACTAGCAGTGACGTCTGGTCATTCGGGGTCACACTGTGGGAGATCATCACCTTAGGTAGGTTTATTTAAAGATGAAGACAGTTGTGATTATGACGAGGATGATGATGATGACGAGGATGTTGATGACGATCACTATTATGATAATGATAATGATGATGTGGATGATGATCACTATGATGATGATGATGATAATGATGATGATGATGATGACGAAGATGATGATTATGATGATGATGATCACTAGGATGATGATGATGATGAAGATTATAATAATGACGATGATATACAGTATCTGAATTTTTGGTATGATGGTAATGACAATGGGTAATGTTGCGTGCAACGTTTCACGTAATCAGTATAACCGGACGGATAAACATTAATTATAGTAAAGCATACTAATCGTATAATGAAAACATTGTGGTATGACCCTCCACAACATAAACTCAATTAAGACGAAACAAAAATATAGCCGCATTAGATTAATGTAAATAAGCTAAGTTATAACAACACATCAATGTATACTGTTAGACCTATTATGTTGCATCGACGTAGGTCTTTAATGTTGTTTTTGTATGACATTCATGACGGAGATGTAATTGTATTTATTATGTCTTACAGGAGGCTATCCTTACCCCGGGGTAACGACCGATGAGCTTATAGAAAAGATTAAAGAAGGCTACCGAATGCCAAAACCGGATCATTGTGAAGACACAATGTAAGAGAGTCTAAAACCAATCACTTGTGTGTGTACTGTTTTATATATCAGGTCCGTAGCCAGGGGGTTTTGTATAGTTCGGGCAAACCCCCTTTTCATGCAACCCCCTCTTTTCTGGCGAAACCACCTCCCCATTGAATTTCCCAAACAAGTCCTTAAACCCAACTAATGAACTGCATACACATCCCGATTCAGCCGGAATGTTTTGCTGTACACAATTTCAAACATAACTGCTTTTACAGCATTATTTAGACCCATAAAACACAAAAATCCTCTGTCTTCGGGGATTTCGCTGACCCCAGAGGGGCTTCGCCCCTGGACCCCACGCCCGAGAACCCCTCTGAAGAATCTGGCTATGAGACTGCATATTATGCTCCTCTCTGCAATATACCGAAGTTATGTGTACATACCGTAGTTAAGAGCTACAAAGTGGTGGTATAACCTCCACGTTATAGCCATGCAAATCATTGCAGCATGACAGTGCTCCCAAGTAACGCAAACGCTGTGAGCGCTGCTTTTAGGTGTTTCGAAAACAGAGAATTTGAAAGTAGACACAACATGAGTCCGAGACCAACTCGGCAAAAACAGAGACCTGGCTTAAGTTGGAATTCTCAGTTTTCAAAGCATTCGATTAATATAATATTATTTCTTTCCATGAACATTCTAATTTTATACGCAGATATGAGATTATGAAATGTTGCTGGCAACTCAATGCGGATGACAGACCATCATTTGACCAACTGACAACGCAGTTGGATAACATATTATCTGCCGAGAAGGTAAGTATAAAATCATTATTAAACCAGGGTTGGCACAAGCGGGGAGCCTAAGGGGCCATGTCGACTCTAAAATCGATTAAATAAGCCTTTGAAACCCCTAATTGTCAACATTTTCGGGGACTTCGCTCCCTGGACCATCGTTCAAAACCTTTTAATCGAAGGTCGGCCACGCCCACTTTGCTTTCGTCGGGGAAATCTGACCCCTCGTCGGGGGCATCGGCCCCCGTCGGGGACCACGCCCCCACACCCCGTCGGGCGAATTCTGGCGCCAATGTATTAAACACAATCGGACAAATCATGATTGAGTTGTTTAATAATTATTCAGAAAGAAAGAAAGAAGCATGGTTATTGTAAACTTTCTTATTTTATGGTGCGCTGAAATATTATAGTTCCTGTATAGTGCAAATCTTCGTTGTTTTATTTATTTACTCATTAAAAATCTGTCTTTTTGATTTAGATATATATTTTTTCTTAACCCTCTTAAGGATTACATAGATTTTACCTTCTTTCGGGGAAGCATCTATGAAAATGTCCAATGTGAACTACTGATGACAAACCAAGCTGAACATCATAATAATATGAACAACAAATTTCATCACAAAGACGAGTGCTGTCATCGTGAGGACGAGAGCAAACACCACAATCACAGCGATAGGAACAGTCTCAGTGACGAGAATAATCATCACAAGGACGTTCAAAGTTACCATGAAGGCAAAAATGTGAATCATGAGCACAATCAGGAGAATAATACACATTATAACCACGGACATGAAAAAAACAAACTTGATAATGGAATCAGCGTTGAAAACAAAGACAATCAACATGCGTACGATAATAGTAACTACCAACATGAAAATAACAACAGTCAATTCGGGGAAGGGACAGATCATCAGCGAGACGAAGTTAGCGATCCGTGGTACGATAATGAAAATAATGTTATAAACATCGAAGACTAGTAATCATATGTACAACATTAGAGACAAAAGGAATAGTGACCTTGTGTACGACACCAGCATTGCGGAGAACAACCACTAGGCCTAACAACCACTAGGCCTAATTAGCACAAATCAAGAGTGGCACTGTAGCTTGGTGGGTAGGGCAATCTTCTTCATACACCAAGGTCTTATGTATAAGAAAAGTAATACAGTGCTCGAATATAGAAGCGTTGATGCCCATCATCATATTTTATTTGTATTATATTCAGTGTGTGTATAATATAAATCAAGACAATTTCAGTACAGTTTAAAAAAATGAGATAAAAAGAAAAAGAAATAACAAAAACCAAACAAAAAGAAAAAGAAAAAACCCCGGCTGATACGGGCTAGGAGACACCAAATAACAAAACGTAATAGAAAAAAAAAGCCTTCGTAGCAATGCAATGAAAACAAATAATTAAACAAGAATAGAAGACAGATTGAGAATTATTTATGTTGTTAGGAGGGTTGTCGTACCACAGAGCTGCATGGCAGATGGTGATGGTGATTGATTTGCTCGAGTAATCTTGAATTTTTGGTACCACGAAGGGTTTTTACGACGATACGCGACGGCCCGATTGTTTGTTTATAGTGTATTCAAGTACTGTTCAAGGATTCAAGGAACATTGTCGACAATAAAATTTAGATGTAGGATGATATACCGTACATATAAGCAAACATTAAAGATATATTTAGTGTTATATTAATATATACATTAAACTTACAATGTATTCAACAAACAAAACAAAAAAGTAATGAATAAATATAGATAAAACAATTTAGGTCCTGAAAAAAGTAGGTTAATCACTTTTATCACCCTAAGTTGGAAAAGTGATGAAGCCAAAAATCACCCCTGGGTTGTTTGCTGGTGCATTGGTATTGAAAGTAAAGTATATGATTGAGATAATACAAACAATATCTACTAACTATTTACTAAAAATATGAAAAAGAAAAATTTTCCGAAAAAAAAATATCAAAAAAAACAACAACAAAGGATTAGTTTTTTTTTCCAATACCATAGATGACATACATGCGGGCGAGGGTGATAAAACATTAATTCATTTTATTGGGCTTTAGAAAATACCTATAAAAATTTGATTATTGCGAAAAGGATATTTTTCTGTGCACTGTTATTATTTATTTCTTTTATTTTGTATTTTGAGTAAGTGTATTGTAGTCTACTTTCGCACGATAATTGTTAATATTCAAAAGTTGTGGGCCAATAAACAACAATAAGAAATCATTGATTCTGTTCACATTCCAATACTACTAATCGTTAACCCATACCATGCACGGCACAAAGTGTTTACTTGTTTGTTGAAAACTTCGTTAATTTTAGGCTAATTGTTACTTATTACACGCAATTATTTAAAGTTGAAACACATTATTCAGAATAGGCTCACTACCTTCTTTACACGTTGTGGTACACAGTGGTTCAGATCGTTGCTATCACTGAGTATAGGGGCCTACATACGGTACCGTATCTGTCTCTTATACACATCTAGATGTGTATAAGAGACAGCCTTAAACCCAACTCAGAAAGCGTAGTACGACGCATCCCGACGCGATTTATCGTCGGGGACAGTATTTGTCGTCGTGATAATATTAAGCCGGTTACTCACTGCGTGCGACGGTGACGCGACGAAGAACGCACGGGAAGACGCGGACCCAACGGATCCTATGAATACTAACCACACTACAGTGGCGTCACGGAGTAGTTTGTGGGGCTCTGGTGGTGACTATTATTGGGGGGGGGGGCGGGCAGTGCCTCCAAAAAGCGAGCGAAGCGATCGTTAAATTTGCGAGCGGAGCGAACGGACGCTGGGGGCCAGTGGGCCGCGCAGGGCCCCCCGTTGGGGTCCCGGGGTGAAGGCCCTGGTGGGGGTCCGACCTCGCGCTTAGAGCTTATGGCATTTATGAACTGTTGATTGCGTTATCAGAGAACATAGAATTGTCCATGACTGATGAAATATTTCAGACAATGTTATGACAATAAGCCAACTTTCGGAACTGCTACAGGCCTACAGTAGGCTTGTGTAATGTAGGCGTAAATAAATACAGAGAATATTTTAGTGAGAAACGAAACGTACAAAAACATGATAAGGAATATGACAGACCACTCTCGGAATCAAAAGACACCACCACATCGACCAAGTGTAGTTCGCAAGAAAAACCGCAACCTAAAAAAAAAAAAAAAATGCACCGATCGTTTACATGACCCCTGCTGTTTCTCAGTCTGTGTGATGATGCCAGGTCAGTGTATTTTCAATGTTTAAAACTGCCGGTGCCCCATAATGAATGAAACTATGGTATTATAATATAGATATCATATTTTTTTTAAACTACAATGTCAGGGCCACTCGCGCCTGGAGGCCCTAGCGCGCCGTCTCCCCCCCCCCCCCCCCCCCCCCCCCCCCCCTCCGCCGTCAACGCCAATGCCACACTATAATTTTACCATACATTCACAAAGTTATGAATAGGCGTACCATACATCTCAAACGAGTCCGACGTCGATCAATTGGGCGTGCCATACCTACGTCATTGCCTTGGGAGTTGGAATGACGCGAGGCTTTACATCTTCGAAATCATTCTACCGCATTAATCTGCAACCAAGCATACAGTTATCACCACTTGTCGAAAGGTGAGTTTAGGTTTATTTTTTTGAATCAAGTTTATTTAAGTCTTTGGATCCTAGTTGTTCTGTACTAAAATCATACAAAAACTATAATTAGCAATGGTAGTAACACGTATTACGTGTGTATAACACCAAGTGCGTTACTAGTACTGTAATGAGAAAGGAAGCGCATGGGATACTTTTATTAAGAGGGAAAAGATGATACTGTTACAGTAGAGTGTACAGTACATCATTTTTTGCCTGCTCATTTATCGCTGATATAAAGTGTAGTCAAATGTGTGTTTATGTCTTTGCTTATTACTCTAAAAATTTATTAAATATTTTTTCAATTATGGTAATATTTATAGAATTCCATCGTATTTGAAGACGAAGGAGAAATTAGCGTGTACAGTAGTGTTATAGGTAGAGAAACACCTTGAAAATCAGAAGTAAATCAAGGGTTTTTATAGTGTGCGCTATGCACTGTGGCCTTGATTATTTACGTTGAAGGCCTGGTGTATTTATGTTGGTAATTGGCATGTTAAATTGGTATAATATTTGGCCCGCATCGTTTGAACCCCTAGACGTCTAATTTATCTGTATAGTCTATTATTACAATTGTCTTTATAGGCCTACACTTTTTTCATAAGAATCAGTAAGATTCCAGGCTCAGTGTTCTAATATTATTATTGTTGCTAATTTTTGGCTCAAAATGTTCTGAATTTGTTCTTATTTTACCCACTTTCAAAGACCGAACGTTATGTTACAGCAGTAGCCTATATTACTGTACTGTATTATCAAGGGTATTATTCACACCTACTGCTACAGATGTGACTGGTGTTTTGTTGGCTTTTCTAATTGTATTTAAATAACAACTTTCTGATATTTTACTTCAGCCTCAATTTGTTCTTATTTTTAAAGCAATTTCAGTTTTGGTGTTCTTATAAACTGTTTTGTTATATAAAAAAAAGTGTAGCCTATACAATATGTTGTAGGCCTATGTTATTCAAGTAATGTCCTCCTATAAGAAAGGGCTACATACTGACTGGTGAAGATTTAGAAACAAAAATAAGTAATAGTAAAACTGCAATATGAGAGAACGAACAAACAACACTACAATACACTTTTTACTCTATACCTTATTCGTAGTAGGTGTGACTATGTAGTAATAACCTATTTAATACAGTATAGTGATATACTATTGTACAATAATAATTTTCTATGAAAATGTGTAAAATAAGAAAACCAAGCCATGGCAAAATGTTACTGGTTCTTAATATATAAAAATGTGTAATAAGATAACATAACGCAAGTATATATATATATATATATATATTACTTATACTTATACAATCATAAGATAGATATAACGCGAATACCTCATTGGATGTACAGTAGTGAACAATTAGACTGGTGTTTGGAAACAAAATCGTTGTTTAAAGCCCTTTAAACCACTAAACCTTGTTAATCATTACATGAGATTAAAGCAACATTCCTCTATTGCCATTGGTTACAAGCACGAATACCATCTGTACCTCATTGCGTAGTAGTAATCAAGAAACCAACCAATGGCCTTCGTGTTAACTCCAAAACTCGGCTGCGGACCAAAAGTCTCCGTTTAGCATAATATTCTGATTCAATATCTCACGAGAATGTTGACACAGTTTTTAAAATATCTCAATTTTGAAATTGCCTACCCATTTGTTTCGGTAAATAAACACACATCATGGTTTACCTTCATAGCTGGATGCACTCAAAAAAGAAATCAGCAATATTTAGGCCTACATTTTATTCGCTCATCAGAACTGGTGCATCTCCGTTTAAAAGTGTAGGCCTATGGGTTTGTTTTTTTTTTCGAATAACTGGATAAATAAAAATATTGCTAATCCGCAGAAAATGAGAAAGGCAAACTAGAGGCCTACTCGTCTATACATGGTTTGACGAATTCAGGTAAAACCTATCCATCCTCACATATTAGTACTCACGGGATAATCATTTGTTCGGGTTTGTTCGTTTCATTATATTATTTGTAATAAATTTGGCAGAAAGAACAATAATAAGCCATTCTTTTGATGATGCCTAGTGAGGCGGTTTGAACAGATATAGTTTTAAACAGAAAGACGCAGTACTGTATACACTCTTGTGTTCATCTACCCATCGTATAGTTTGATAATGATGTATGATGTGTATATCTATATATAACTAGGCCTATGTTAAAGAAATACAGAATGTTTGATATTTTCCATAATTCAAGAAGATATAGACTTAATCATCCTATTTCCTCATTTTTACAATCTCTGCTTAACGCCACTTTTGAGCAATCCCGTGGTGTTGCCTTTTCACTATTCCGAATTTTTTATTGTTCTGCTGTCATGTGTTGATTTGAAGACGAAATAAATGATGTGATATGATAGTATCTTTTGTCAGCAAATTCGAGGGTCTCAATTCCACCAACTACAAACCAGAGTAGTTGAACACATCTAATAGTTGGGGACCATTTTTCCTATTGTGACTGATAGAATACGGGATTCTTTTTATTGAGCAATTCAAATTCTATTTTTATTGAAATTTATATCTCGATTTGTGAGTGACAGTCTATCTTTACGGTATATTAAACACAATACGTTTTACTATATTCATATTATCTTAGCACACACTGTCAAACATAATATGTTGTTAGGCAGAATAAATGCGAACTACTTCCTTGGGCTTGTTAAACCACAAGTTGATTCTGATCTTGAAACAAATATTTCGTTCAAACTTTTACCAACTCCTCACTAGACCTCAGAGCATACTATATAGTACTGTACATCAATAATATTGCGGTATACCACCATGATAAAACATGGAAATACACACTGTGGTACAAGGTGCAACTTTTCGTTTCGTTTCCGTTCCTTGGCACGTACTGGCCAAGGACATTTATTTCATCTTTTATATAAGGCCTTCTCCCCAAATAAAACATAATTGCTATTTACAGAGGGAATGATCACTTCTACGTTTAAATGAGTGATAAAGAAATTTACATAAACAACTTATTGTATTGATATCAGTAGTGGACATTAATTGAGTGAACTTAACTTTGGATGGATTAACAATAAAATACTTAAATATATAATGTTTACGAATATCAGTGTAACAAGGGCAAATTAAAGTAAAATGGTACTCATCTTCAACTAAATTTAATGTACAATGTTTGCATAATCTATCTTTTTTATCAATTTTTGACCATCTACCAGTTTCAATTTCTAATTCAAGGACTCCTAAACGCAACTTAGTGAGAATACGTCTATAATTAAAATTTTGTATATGCATTAGGTATAGTTCGATTGTAAAATTATATTTAAATGTCACATAATACTTAAGTCTGGAAAATAAATGAATTTGTTCATGAAAATTTTTACGTTCAATATCAGTTAGACGAGTAGTTATTTCAGATATAAAAGCAACATTGTTCTCAACATATTGTTCATACCAATTTATACCAAAAGCAATTGAACATAATTTCTCCTTAATAAAGTATAACCAAGATTTATCGTTCGACTGTAATCTTCTTAACTGATCTATACACAGTGTGTCTATGTTATACTGTAAAGACTTCATATTTATTATTTTTTATTATTATTTATTATTATTATTATTATTATTAACAGGGCCATATTGTGACACAGCTGTAAAATATTGCTTTTTATTTGTTTTATTTTGAATAAATAGACTTTATAAATAGATAAAATAAATAAATACCGACTAAAGCCTCAGAATTCAAATAAGAGTAAATATCGAATGCTACTTGGTAATATTATAATTCTAAATGTTTTTGACATCATAAGGGTGAATAAGCAAGTCGGTAGACTATAATACGTCCATAAGTGATAAATCTAGCCAGATTACTTTTCATCATGAATACACTATCAACTTCCAAGGCCACGAGCATTCCTAAGCGTAAACCCCTCACTATTCATATTTTGTGTATTGAAGCCTCGAACTCCGTTATAAATGAATGATTTTTGTCAACTACTGGGTTAGCGCAGCGTGCTGGTTGATTGTTGTGTGTTTTGTTAGCTGACAACAACCGAGGATTTTCATTCTCTCTCATATATGGTATTTTTCCGCTCTTTAACACAGGTACTGTATTCATAATTTAGTTGACCACAAGCTCGAGCGAGTTTTATAGACGAACTATCTAGGGCGTGAGTTGACTCAATCATCATTCAGTGGAATACTGTGCTGAGTTTGGACGACCTCTGAGAAACGATTCCCAAACTAAACACATTAATGCAAAGGATATAAATATTATGGATTTATCTGGCGGTTGCAGAATTTACCTATTTGTATTGTTTAATCTCTTTCTAATCGAAGGTAAGTTTAATCCTAGTGGTTTAATTCATTGTGCTGATGTGATTTTAACTATTGTCTTTTGATAAAGCCTGCGCATCAATTTGTTTTTCACAGCAACCCTCATTAGTATCGTAGTAATGTAGTATACCTGGCCTATCTAAATTTGTTATAAAATGTACAAAATTACAAAATAACAAAATAAAATTTGTTCATTTTTTTAATGCATAATGGATTATGCCATTAGTGTCCTTGGCCAATGCTATAGCTTAAAACAACGGTACGCAACATTTACATGCACATACAATGAATAGGCCTACAATACAGGTAATTATGTTATCAATTCAATTAAATTCAAATTTTATTTCAACCATTTTTCATATTAAAAAATAAAGAAAACAAATGCTGTTCAAGAGTAAAAAAATATTACTGAATCTATTTTATTGCTTTTAAGATTTTTCCCTAATCAATTCGACCAAGTAGATCAATCATATTGTGATTTGTGTTTAAATTGTAACTTTTTCAACCAATCCTTCAATTTTTTTTTTTTTTTTTTTTTTAAATTTTTTTTGTGCTTATTATGAGCCTATTTCGTGTAATTGTCAATGTTTTCTTTTTGTAAAGATCCAAATGGAAATAAATTTATTTTAAAACTTTTTTGGGGTTTTCCTTGGTTCGTTCAGATAATGTTCTCATTTGTTTCGTTGTATGTTATTTTAGTCGTTTTTGTTTATATTAATGGTATAGATCTGAATGAAATGAATAAATCTAAACAAAAATTAACTAAACGTGAAGAACTTTACCTTCTACCCATATTACTGAAATAATATTGTGGGTAAATATAAATTCAATAGTAGGTCGGTGTCATTATGACATGATTGTACTTTTAAAAAAATAAAAATTAATTAAAATTAAAAAAATAAAAAAACAATACCAGCCACTTAAATTTATATTATACACAAGTTTTCCATTAGTTCAGCACACAGGAGAATGGTGGATACACTTTTATTTTTATGAGAACCAGTAAAATTTTGCCCAGACTGAGTGTTTTTTGGCCAATTTCAGACTCAAAATGTTCTGATTTTGTTCTTATTTTTACACACTTTTCAAACATAGAAAATTATTGTTGTACAGCAGACTTACTGTACTGTATTACAGACTGTGTTAAATAGTCACACCAAATAAGATACCGATAAGATTTGTTAGTTTTCTATATTTAAAAATGAAAACCTCATTTTATATTTTACCTCAGCCTCAATTTGTTCTTATTTCATTCTTGCGTCAGTGTTCTTATAAAATGTGTTCTTATAAAAAAAAAGTGATAGCTAAGTAATGTGACATTATTTATTCAGCTTTAGGTACTAGGGCTAAGGCTATGCCAAACAGTGAACTAAATCACTCTTCAAAGTAGCAATCCCATCAAGACAACAGGGGCTGTATGGACCAGTACATATTTATCTCGAAAGATATACATACTGGGTTCTTTATAGTGCACATGAGCCAATAGCATACACTGGGCCTTCTCAGTTTATAGTCCTTATCCGAGAAGACTTGTTCTACCTTCAGAATCATAGGTGAGCGCGTACCGTGGAGCGGATGGCTGTAGGTTGTGCCGCGCCTGCTTTAACCACTTGGACATTCGACTCGCATTACATCATAATTGGTTACGGTATGCTAGCATTCAGTTCCCTTCATTGAAGGATGAATAAAGTTTTACTTTGACTTTACTTTGACTTCAGACGTAATTACTTGATTATTGCTATGATTAACGAGTTGGTGTAGTAGAGGTTGTTTTTTTTTTTTTTTTTTTTAATTGGTTGAATATGTCACAAGGTTGTGGATACCCTTTCAGAAAAAATATGAGTTTTCAAGTATTAATTAGGAATACGACAGTTGGTTTACAAGTGAATGTTGAACACATCGTCCCCGTACCGTTCATTGAACTCGATAATAATGGCTCACCCTCTTCGAAAATTTATGGATCAGGGATGCACGTCATCCCCTCACAGACCTAATGTAATGTAGGCATTAAACCGAATATTTGGGAGCACATCAACCTAATAAAAACCTATACATTAACGGGATGTTTATAATGTCCTTCCTGACTGATAATTTAAGGATATGCCTATATTTTAGCGCATCCTTCCCGATTTATAAATAGATAATTGGTTATTGGAGAATTATAATTTCGTTTTTAGAAGATTATTTTGTGGGAGGTGCTTTACAAATAATACTACAGTACCATGGATACATCTTGCACTGCAATCATCCAAGAGCACTCACTACGACGAATCCAATTCTGCTCAATACTGTGAGCGCTAGACGACAAGACGTCGACTGCTGAACAAGACCTGGGAGCTTTCGATTTGTGCGACGACGCGACGCCAGAACGGAATCACTTATGTGTGACCGTCCTACCTGGCGTCCTACGTTCTCTGCATACGTAGATTTGGCCAAATTGCGTTTCAGAATCTTCTCGACAAGGTGAACTTAACGTTCTCGCATGCGCAGATGACTTTTAGTGACGTCATTACGTTCTACGTCCTGCCGTCGTCGTGGAATCGAAAGCTCCCTCGATAGCAGCTCGGATCGTTATTAAAACGATCTATTGCGCGAGCGTCGTGGCGTTGCGTCCTCCATAGCATCGCGTCGCCCGGCGCCGTCGGGCGCAGTGAGTGGCTGGCGATTTTCTACATTGGATTTTTGATTTGCTGCATGTAGGCCTACATCTATTCCTATGATGATTTACTGACACGCACAACTTCAGTGACAGGTTGTTTTAATAAACTTGGTTGCTTTCAACACCCTATATGTCACATAAAAACATCGAAGACCGTGTTGTACATAGCTGGACCAGCATTTTATAAACATTGTAACTGGACCTAAATAAAACCGATTTGATGGCTTTTTACCATAGAGCTAGATAATTATAGGCTATATTTTATTTTCTCAATGAACTATAGTACATGTAATAACAATAGCCGGCTACATGCGATATAAATGTATTTCAGGCAGAGAAAGTATCTAAAAATCTCTTTCTAGGTCTCTAATTACAATTCAATTCAATTTCAATTCAATTTCAAATTTATTTAGTCCTTGCAGAAAATATTTTGAGTGAATGTTTCATAGCATACATAGGAAATACAAACAAATACAAAGAGAAAAATATATAAAAAATACTACTGGATATATATAAAAAAATTAAAATACTGAAGGCCTACTTCATTTTCATTAGTCAGAATAAAATAATAATTCTCTTAATTGTCAGGAATATCGTATCAAAAATAATAAGCATTGATATAACGCCAGGGACAATGGGTTTGATTTGAAAGCGCTGTGATCGTGTTGTGAGTTGATGATGACATTTATTGTATCAAACTTGTATCAAAGGCCGGGCACTCACTGCGTCGTACGACGATCGTACCACCGTCGAACGACGAATCCAATTCCGCTCTTTTTGAGCGCTACACCCTGAGACTCCGTCAGCTGTACGTCTGAACGGATCGTCATTAAAAACGATCCGTTGCGCGCGCGTCGTCGCATTGCGTTCTTCATAGAATCGCGTGGGCCGACAACCGTCGGGCGCAGTGAGTTCCCGGCTTAATAATACGTCAAATAATAATACTATTTTAATTGAGTACAGTATCATTGGAAAAATGGTTTTCTTTATGTTTTTTAATCCTATAATTGTTTTATGAATATATATAGCCTTTTTTTCAGTATTTCCGGTATTGTAGTAATGTATCTTTGTATGTGTGAATGCAAAAAGAAAAAATACATTTTTAGCTCTTGACACAATTTAAATAGGCCTATAGCTAGGTCGAGTGGGCCGTGGACTTAGTATGACCTCCGCACGCATGTTTATACAAAGCGCGTCTTTTTGTGTTTTACTAAACCGATGTACAAAAGTCTTTTAAAGTTCGCTCAACAAAATGCGATTGTTTAATTGTTGAATAAAGTTCAAGAAGTTTGTTCTTAATGCTCGGGATTTACTGTATATCCGCACATTCAAGTTTAATAATACTGTTGAGTTATTTCTGTCAAATTGCAAGCGAAGCATAAACCATAATAATGCCCGACGCATCAATCGTCTAGCCGACGTGCATATTTTTTTTTTCTGAAACATTTAGGCCTATTCAACTAACAGTTTGCTCTTGCTAACTAGAGCACGGGATCATTTTAAAACACAAAACACACAGTGGATTTAAAAAATATTAGTAGGCTAAAAAATAACTATGACTAGCCTTAAAATATAGGCCTATCATTGAAGGAAATCAAATTAATAAGTTAATCAAAAGTTAATTTTCAGCATTCGTTATTTATAAATATATTTAAAAATATTTAAAATGGATTACTGTACATTTAAAGAATATCCTAGACTAGATAACGAGCTAAACTGACAAAATTAGAAGAATGTACTATAAAGCGTCGGAATAACTCCAACGCCGACAGACGCCACAAAAGCTACTATCGTCCATCGACAATGTTTTTCCATGTTCCTACTAATTCGATATGTAGTATGAGTGTACAATAATCTTAATTTCAAATCGAATTTGTATAGATGAGGCAGAAATGAAACCTTTGAACTCTAAGAAAGTAAATAATGATTTATAATGCTTTTGTTTATAGGGGTATGGGGAACATCTGTGAACGTAGGTTCCGGTATATCAACAACGGAGGGTAGCACAGTGTTCTTGAGGTGCTCGTTCAGTAAAAGCATTGCCAGTGTCGACTCACCGCCCATCGTGCACTGGAGTATATTAGACGCCGACGGCTATCCTACACCTATTCTCACCAGGACGAATGGCGAGACACGCACGGAGCCCCCTTACCGTGCACGTTTCAGCATATCAGGGGAAGCAGATTTACGGATTACAAATGTCCAAGCTGAAGACAATGGGAAGTACAGATGTAGGGTCCAAATAATTGACGATATACCCAGCGAGGACTTTGGCGACATCACTCTGAAAGTATTTTGTAAGTTTTGCTTGACGCAGACCATTTTCGGTCACACATTACTCTCCATAACGTAGCACCCGATAGTTCCATCACCTCTGGATCAATGTAATTCGTTGATGTAATGGTAGTTATATACCGTACTCGCGCGAATAACCGCCCCGTTTGAATAAGCGCCCCTCTTGAAACAAATTCAATCATACAGTACGTACATCACCAACTTAATTTTCTGCATCAACTATTCACATATATCTTAGCATTGTCGGTCGGTCAGTTCACCTATCCATCTTTCGGGCTATCAGTCTCCATTAAGTTTAACATGGTTTTCAGTTTTGATGCATCTTTAGAATCCCGTTCTTGTGTTATTGCTACCATTTTTTGATTTAGAACTACTAGTATTGAATAGGCCTATCAAAAAATAAAAATACTGTAGGTATATGGCCATTTTCAGTCAACAAATATTAACTGATTTATCACTCTCATATCTAAGCAAAAAACCCTGCAATGATCCTGCTAATCTGAATTGGCAGATCGCCAACACACTTACAACAACCACCAACACCACCACTAATTTCATCCGCTGTTGTGTACCCCAACATTCTTGTCATGGCCCATGCTCTCTCGACGATTACCTTTTCTTCACCAAAACCATTCGCTTATCTTCGATTAAATAAAAAGTGCCCCTTGAATTTTCCAATTTCCTATAAGCACTCCTTCAATTTTCATCTATTTCCATAAGCGCCCCCTCAAGTTCCACGCTGTTTTCACAAGCGCACCGTTTGAATAAGCGTCCCTCAATTAAAAAGAGCCAAATATATTTTAAGCGCCCGGGCGCTTATTCGCGCGAGTACGGTAGCTTTAAGCGCAAAATACTAACAGAAAAAGATGTAGTTCGGTAATTTCAATAGAAAAATTTAAGAGAATAATTTAAAAAAGAGTATTGCACCAAACCACAGTAGCCTACAACGCTCAACCTTGGTCGCTGACCAAGGTTGAGTCATGGTAATTTCGAAAAGGTTGAGTAATGATCATTTCGAACTCAGACGCCTCACATCATAATAAAACAATTAACAAAAACTAGCCGACATGGATAAGAAAACAAATAAGTGAAACGAAATCACAGTGACCAAATCAATTTTGAGTCTTTACTTAAGCTTTAAAGCTTGTGAAAGAAGGATTATCAAGAAGAGGAGGGTGTTTCATAACCTTGGTGAAATATCGCTCCCTTGCATTGCAATATGGGTTTCAGTGGTCAAGGCGGACAATCAAGAATGGAGTACGAGTACTACGCTTTGACCTCAGAGTACGTGTACGTGTTTTGTCTTTTTGACAAATTACAAATGCTAAAATAGTGTGCCATGTAACGTTTATTAACTACTGTAGAATAATATGTTCATTCACTTTCTTTTTTAGGGATAAGCAAAGTTGTTTCGACTGTGCCTTCAACTGGCATTATTATCGGGAATACCGTCACAATGACATGCACAGTAACTGGTGATCTTACGCCGTCAGTGTACTGGAAGAAAGATGACAAAGAACTTAAATTAACTTCCACTGGTCATGTGATTAAAGATGACCATTCACTCGTCATTCACAGCGTTTCACGTGATGATGATGGGATATACGTATGTGGTGCACGCAACAACGTCAGGGAAGAAATGAGTACGCCAAAACGACTAGAGGTATACTGTAAGTATCGTTGTGGAAAGAAACTAAATTTCTAAACCTGAAACATAGGGCCTATATAGGCTAATTGTTCAATGCTTCAGTTAAATTTGCTTAGTAGGCCTATTAAATTATTTTAATTAGCATTAACTGACGTTTTCGGCATGATGCGTCCGGAAAGACTCTAGATTATTATTATATTTAAAACAACTGCTGCTTTTCCTTCCTATCACTCTAGACGCTCCAGTTATTAGTGACATAAGCGACACAAAAACTGTAATCAATCAAAATGTAACGGTAACATTTGAGGTTGATTCGAATCCACCAGCAATACTAGAATGGACCAAGGATGGACAGCCAGTGGAGGACATCAACAATCCTTCATTTACGTTTTTTGTACCAGAACAAGAGGTTGGAAAATCCTATGAGATAACACTTACGGCAACTAATTCCGTAGGCAAAATGAAAAAGACGACCAAAGTTATCATTGGAGGTACTGTATATTGATTTCATTAGGTCAGAAGCAGAATTTTAATGCATGGATGGTACTACAGAAATAAACAGTACTGTAGTTTTGTGGATCATGAGGGTTGAACCAATAACTGCTGGCCATTCAAACCCTCAAAAATGACATATAATTCTGGCCTCTCTTGTTGAAACGATTTTAACCAAAATGTTTCTTCCTTTAGATGCATGTGGATACACTACTATCAGCCACGAGGGCTCAGGTCGTATGCTGGAAGCTAAGACGTTATCCTTAAAGGAGGGACGTTCTGTCACTCTTGTTTGTAGCGTCAAAGATTGCGAATCGTCTGATACATACTCGTATGAATGGTACAAAAATGACGTCAAGTATTCGACTTCTGATAAACTAGTCATTAATGATGCAAGTCTGATGGATGATAATATGCAATATATGTGTCGAGTACGAGGCGGAATACCGTTTCCAAGCTCTGTGGGATTCCGTATTCACATTAAAGGTATTACCTCTTGCTGATCTCATAATAGGCCTACGTGTTACTAACATAATAAATATACAGTAGGGCTTACATGAGCATTTCCCCCTTCCCCATTAATCCACCCTTCTTATTCCCTCTAATTAATGGTCATAGTAAATTTGATTTTTCTTTTCTACAGTGCCTCTTCTCGAACCAATGACTATTGTCATTATCTGTGGTTGTGCTGCAGGTTTCATCTTTCTTATAATATTAATCATTTGCTGTGTATGTTTTTGCAAGAAAAGGAGGCAGACCAGAGGATGTAAGTCAATACAATCATTTAAAAACGAAAATCTTGAAATTAAACTTAATATCTTTTAACTTGCATTGGCCTCCCTCTCGGGGTAACGAAACAATCTGACGTCTTAAATAAACGACTAAAACAAAGAAATTGCTACATGCCACTCCTTGACACTTTACATAGTCACGAACGCTATAAGTGTCACACTTTGATTCTTGACATACTGTACATATACATAATAATACTGTATTATTGTATGTACGTTTACAGAAAGATTAGCATTTAAACATTCTGCTCGTAGATGCAAGTTAAGTGACCTTGTGCAGTGTTTAAATTATTTGACATTTTATAATTTAAGTCAATGTTTTATTTTCCATGTTTGAACGTGTTTTTAAGTATGCTTCTCCTGGCCTTGTTTGGAGGTTATTTTTGAATAAATTGAATTGAATTGAAATAAATTGTCGGGAATGCTACATGTCACCCCGTGACGACATGACGGTGAATGCTACATATCATATTCATATATTTCTTCGTAAACGCTTCTTGTCACACCCTGGTGCTTTTGGGACATGAAATGTACATGCTACACATTGATGCTTCGCATCATCACGACGCTACATGTAGGCCTAACAAATTGATTCTCTATCGGGAATGCTACATGTCACTCTGTGACGATATGACGGTGAACGCTTCATTCCCACATTCTTAGTAGTGACCGCTTCTTGTCACACTGATGCCTTTAGACATGAAATTTACATGCCACACATTGATACATTACATCGTCATGAACACTACATGTTCCCTTTTGACGCACTTCGATATATCACATTTTTAATGCCGAAAATGCTACATGAACTATCACACTTTGACACTCTCCAACAATCAATTACTTTATAAATTTAATTCATTTAGCTTATTTTGTTTTCTATTTTCCAGATAAAAGTGCTGACTCCAAGTACAGGTACATTTACAAAAGTTTTCATAATTTGATATTTAATGTCGCATATGTGTGTAGATAAAGTTATTTCTAAAATGATTTCATTTGGTTTCTATTATATATAACAGACTAAAACGTCACAAATTAACAGTACAGTACATATTTCTTAGCTTACTTTTGGTTTGTGGATAAACCCGGCTCATCTCACAGACTGGCAGGTTTATTGTTTTAAAACATGTTTCCTGGTTACGGTTCATTATTACGCAAATTCTCGCATGGCTAAACCCGCTAGTCTGAACGCCCGGCAAAGTTAAGCCGAGCTTAACGTTGAGCCGGGCTTAACTCAAGCCTGGCTTATCTTCAAGTCTGTCTATTATTTCTGTGGGACAATATCCAAGGGACGGGGATTAGTACACTTTAATAATGACTTGTCCTTTAGATGCAATTTCATGCTTTTTACAAAATGTATTTTGTTTTTCCAATTTACTAGCATGCAGTCTGGCTTCTCATACAATGACATCGAATTCATTGGCATAAAGGAAAGAAGAGATGATTCCTCAAGTACAACATCTGGGGTAACTACATCTGTTTTAGCTTAATTCAGCAATGCATGAATCGCCACATACAAATTGTGATGACCCATGCGATGTGCTGTTGTCATTATGATGGGGCTCAGGGTTCCACAGTGCATGCGATGTGCTGTTGTAATTATGATGGGGCTCAGGGTTCCACAGTGCATGCGATGTGCTGTTGTAATTATGATGGGGCTCAGGGTTCCACAGTGCATGCGATGTGCTGTTGTAATTATGATGGGGCTCAGGGTTCCACAGTGCATGCGATGTGCTGTTGTAATTATGATGGGGCTCAGGGTTCCACAGTGCATGCGATGTGCTGTTGTAATTATGATGGGGCTCAGGGTTCCACAGTGCATGCGATGTGCTGTTGTAATTATGATGGGGCTCAGGGTTCCACAGTGCATGCGATGTGCTGTTGTAATTATGATGGGGCTCAGGGTTCCACAGTGCATGCGATGTGCTGTTGTAATTATGATGGGGCTCAGGGTTCCACAGTGCATGCGATGTGCTGTTGTAATTATGATGGGGCTCAGGGTTCCACAGTGCATGCGATGTGCTGTTGTAATTATGATGGGGCTCAGGGTTCCACAGTGCATGCGATGTGCTGTTGTAATTATGATGGGGCTCAGGGTTCCACAGTGCATGCGATGTGCTGTTGTAATTATGATGGGGCTCAGGGTTCCACAGTGCATGAC